AGATGCCCTCTCAGCTGGTGTCATCAGGTGTTTCTTGGCATGGCAGGTGAGACAGCCTCCTGTGCTTCCAGTCATGGTGACTGATCAGTTTCCCATGTAAGTCTTGCATTGTCTTCTCAGGGAGTGTCAGGAATACCCTGTGGAATCTTAGCTTATAACATGCCTTCCTATCTACTTTTTTTCCCCAGTATGCTGGTAAACTTCAGATATACCAAATTTTCTCTACTTACATGTATTTATTAAAATTTTAGGGGTTTTGGGTACATGACACTTAATGTATGCTATGCACTGTTCTAAGTGCTTAACATATGTTAACTTATTTATTCCTGGCAACATTTCTGTGAAGTGGGTATTTTTTATCTACATTTTATAGATCAGGAGAATGAGGCACAGAGATATTAAGTGGCTTCCCCAAGATCACAGAACCAGAGTGTTGCCAAACTCAGGTCTTTTAAATCAGATACAAATCTTCCTCTTGCACTTCCCTCCTTATCAGCCAGTGGGCCCAGCAGCTTCTGTAGCCGGGATGCCCCAAGGTAACATCCTACCACTCAGGTAAACCCTGTAACCACAGAGGCTGGAATTGCTCAGCAGCAATTAGTTCTGCTGATGTAACCCACAGGACCCTCAGGGCACAATGACAGGTTGGATTTTGGACCTTGTTCTTCCCTGCTCTGCCTCTGCTTCAAACACTGTTCTAGGATTATGTTGTCGAAATAAGGTTATTGTAGGCGTCAATTTCCGGTGAGACCTTAGAAAAGTAATTTTTCTTCCTTTGAGCCTGTTTTTTCCAACTGTAAACAAGTAGAAGATTGAGAGTGAAATGGAAGAGGGAATTTTTAGATTTTTTTTCTTCTCTAGTTCTAAGGATTCTTTGAATCTATAATTCATACATACTCATTTTTTAATCATTTCATTGTGTTTTGACATGTTTTAATCCCCCTTTATTTTTTGTATGAATCAGTCTAAAAATTAAATTAATACATTAAATTTTTGAATAATATACAAGTGCTTAAAATGAGAAAAACAGTGTCTGGCTTTCCACCTCTTCTCCTCCCAAATATTACTCCCTGAAGATAACCACGCATGACTGTGTCTGGTTTTAGTTCTCCTGGAGGTTATTTCCATACCTCTTAATAATGTGTGTTTCACCATTACTTGATTTATGAGCTCCAGAAATAATCTATTGGGCCCTGCTTTGAAAGATAAGGATGTACCTCCCCTGTTATGGCCTAGGGGTGAGAACCTTTGCCCCAGCTCTATGATATCAGCTAAATCCCGGGGGTGGTACCTCTGCAAGATGGGAAATTCCCCAAGTTTGGCTGCTTAGGCAATGTGGAGGCCTTATTCAGGTTTGTGAAGCTGAAAATGTTACCACAGGGAGGCACTGGAGACAGCTTATGACTGTACTCTGAGGAGGGGCTTCCTACTCTGGGGAATAGTGGCTTAGTTTTTAAAGAGGTTAATTAAGAGGGAGTACAGTGATTGTCTCAGATCAGCACACAGTTTTTTGCTCCCAAGAGGGCCTTGTGGCATTGGGGAGCCAAGGAACAGGGGCTACTTTACTATAATTCATGTTTGTTGTTGTTCCAAGCAGTGGGAAATAGCAAGGTCACCTGAAATAGGAGTAGCTGAGTGCCCAGAAGTTCTCTGGCCATGCCCAGTGACTGGTATGGGAAAATTTGGAAGTGACCTACGTTATCAAGTTTCTTCCTTCCTGCTGGGGACCAGGAGAGCATCCTTTGGAACCTTTGGGCACAGGGACTATGGATAGGTGCTGGGAGCAGGTGGCTGCTCTCTGACAATTAGATTGTACCACAGGAGGCCTGGGGAAGAGTAGGAGCCACAGAGAGGACAATCTTGCAATGCTGATCATCTTTCTTACCAGCGTGGTCTTAGTAGTTCAGAGACCATTGTCACATGCCTGTCACCTGTCAGGCTCTACCCATTCAAGAGTCATAGCCGCTACTAAAGTGCACATTGGCATCCACTTCTCTGTGATACAAGTGCCTTCGTGCCTCAGAGCTCCATCAGGAGTCCTCCTCACCTCACTGCTGTTACCACCTGGAACGCAGGGACTGCCAGCCCACACAGAGTGATGATGGGACAGCCCTGTGGACCTCAGCAGAGGGGAGACTTGGGGAAGGCCACACATCTCTACACTGCCCTGCATCTTCCATCCTCCATCTCATCTCCATACAGAGCTGAATGGCTGGTGGCGATAAATTAAGGTAATTACAGTATTAGAGGAAAAAAGGTGATGAACCAATGCTTGCTTTGACTTTTTCCATAGTCCAAGGGGAAAAAAACCTAACCAAATAATTAAACTCTTCACTGGGACCCCCCCCCCCTTGGGTACACCCTGATACCTAGTCTCGCCTCCTGTGCTTGAGGTTTCTTTTTCACTCCATTTGTGAGAGACTTTTTCCGTTATCCAACATATAAAACCTTCACCTTTTGAAAACTTAAAACTCATAACCTGTATCACAGAGGTTGATCTCATCCCAGAATCTACTCTTTTCACTATACCTCAAACCAGGGACTTGATCTGTAACAGCATAAATGGGATGGGGAGGAGATACTTGGATGGGGTAGGCCAGGGTTGGCTTTGGCACTCCAAGGTCTGATGCCCACTGGAAATCCCTCCATCACTGTGATGGTAGGCCCCTTCTTTATTCCTTGTCTTCAAACCTGTACGCGTGCATGCACACACACAGACATCTCACAAAGACACACAGTATTTCTCTGAGACAGTGGTATAAAGGAAAAAGAAACATCGTCATTTCTGCAATATCATCTGCATTTATTGTGCTGCCAGGAACAGAGAGAGTGCTTCATCAATTGTTCTTTATTCATCCTCCCGTATGTTCCAGGCCCATTGCTCTAAAGAGAAAGATGGTCAAAGACCCTGGACATTTTCTTTTTTTAATAATAATAATATTAAATTATAATATTAATAATTTAATAATGATGTAATAATCATTTAAAATAATCATTTGGCTTGAACAAATTCTTAGATATGGTGTCTTCCTCCCTCAGTCTGTAGCACTCATCTGGAAGTGGTGGCGGGCACCACCACTCCCATGATGACTGGTGTATTACCCTGTTTTATATATCAGAAGGAGGAGACTCATAGAGGCTTTCTGGTACCTCCAAGGTCAGATGTGGTGGAGCCAGGACTAGAACCCAGATCTGGCGAGTCCAGGCCTAGAGCTCTTTCTACCACATTAAAATGGAAGAGAACATTGCTGAGTATATATCTTGTTAAAACAGATTACGATGCCAGTAAAGAAGAAATTAGTGTGAGGATGTACAAGACAGGGGGATCTAGAGTTCAGAATAGATCAAGATATCACTATATTTTCCAAGAAAACCTAAGGAAGAAGGATCCTGTCTGTTAGCTTGGTATAGGAGGACTTGTTCTTACTCTTCAGCCAAATTTTATATTGGCTACTTCAAGGATCTTAGTTTATTCATCTAAAGACAGGAAAGTTTGGATTATGATTGTGCCTTTCCAACTCCAGCATTCTGTGATATAAAAAGCCAACATAACACATGATATGAAGTATGGAGAATGACTTCCTTGTCACATGTTGACTCAGGAATGGTAAAGCCATGTAGCAACAAGGCTAATCTTATAGCTGTAGTGTATCTAAGGTCATCGAGTTAGCCTGGCCCTGCAGCCACAGTGAAAAGAAGTGCTTCATTTCATGATTGTGGAAGATGATTGGCCATTATTACGAGCAAAGAACTCATATCGAATTCTCTGTGAGGTTAAACAAATCTTCAGATAAGACACTTGACATGTAAAAGGAAGCTTAAGTGGGTCAAGAAAAAGAGCTGTTGGCTGACACTGAAGGATTCAGGAAGGTCAGATACACGTGTGAAGTGGGGGCCCGTCATCTGCAAGACTGATGAAAATTTTAAAAGGACAGAAATTTGGTTTGTACAAATAGACAATTATCTGTAAGAATGATGGTTGAGGACTTAAACTGAGAAGAAAGAACAGATTCATTTTGAGAGAATGCTGAAGGAGGAAGGTTTCTGTAATGATCGTGCTGTGCATTTGATTAATGATCAGAAATAGTCAGGACTTGTCATTCGTCTGGATCTCTCAAGGGAAGCTGGACGCAGTAAAGGATTTTTGAGGAAAACAGTATCTGGTCAAGTAGTTCCTTCTATCTCTGACTCACCTCTCTAGTCTACTTATAGTCACAATTCTTGATCTGGAAGCCCTTATCAAAAAATATGGATAATATTCATCTCACAGATTGTTGTAAAAATGTGTATGAAATATGTATGTGTATGAAAGGGCATGGCTACTTGAAAAATCCTCAACTAACATTATTGCTATGCTTTACGGGGACAGCAATAAAGGGGGTGAGAAGGCAGTGTGGTATTTTGGTGAGAGCCATGGCTTTGATATCAGGCAGCGTGGATTCTAATCCCTGACCTGTCACTTATAGATAAATCGCTTAACACCTGGAGTCTCATATTCCCCATCTGTAAAATGGGGATAACAAATCTCACTTGCACAGGTGTGTGACTTAAAGCCAAAATGAATAACATATGGGAAGACTTTGCAACTGCTAAAGCACTGTATAAGTGTAAGGAATTATAAATATTATTATCACTTGGGTCCCCAGTTTATGGGATTGGAAGTCAGCTACTCCAATGACAGATGAGTGGGAATACATGAATGATTACCCTCAAAGTATACTTTTTCTCTTTGCCATCTATCACCAATAAATACTTGATTTACATTTGAAATTTGGCAACCCGGAAAGCCATTAATCCAAATAAATACTCAGCGCTCTGCAAAGCAAAATGTTTCCCAGCCAGAGCCTCCGCCTGCTCTGTGACGCTTGCCTTGCACATGTGCGGACAGACTCATTTGCTGCTGGTGCTGTCTATACTGACTCACCCCTCAGTCAGTCAGCAGCCTGGCATAGGTTGCCACTGTGCATGCAGCAGCTTGCAGGATCTGCAGGCAACTACAGAGGAAGGACAAACATTGTCCTTACTAGCTGACAAGCTAAGAGCTCCTGTCATGAATGACTACTGTTTCTGACTGTCCAGCCTTCATTTACCCTCTTCTGGTAAGAAAACATCAATTTTCCTTTTGTTAACCATCCTTCCCCCACTCTTGCCAGTGTTATTTTTGGGAGAGACTGATCTTAACCCCCTGCTCTAGAAGTGGGGATACAACCCAGGCCTTCTAAACAGAGAGAGCCTTGATGATTGGTTCTGGGAAGGGCAAGTCAGTTTGACCCATTAAATGTCAGGTCCAGAGGTCTTGCTCAAATATTGAGAAAAAAGTCTTTCTGAGCCTCAAGAGTACTATAGACAGCTTCCTGGTATTATTTCTGAGCACCTGGATCTAGCTGGACCTGAAGCTTACATTGGACTTTGAAGCTTACATTGGACTTTGAAGCTTATTACCCCAACCAATGAATTCCTTTTGCTTGCTTGTTCATTTGTTTGGTCTAGTCAAAGTTGTGCATAGCTTTGTGCATAGTTATAGCAGTGTTCGTTCCTTCAGTCTACACACTACTTATTGGATGCTTCCTTGTGTCAGGCCCTGTGCAGGGAATTTTGATGACAAAGACATGGGCTCTCCCTTCATGGAGTTTGCAAACTAGTAGGAGAGACACAGAATATTAAAATAGAATATAGTAATTATAATGAGTGATATATGTATGAGGCATTAAAGAGCATAAAGTGGAAGTCCTTAACTCATCTAAGAGTATGTCAGGTGTGGAGGATCTGGAAGGGTCTTCTACCTTGAGGAAATAAACCCTGAGAGGGTACTTACTGGATGAGTAGGAATTATCCAGGAAGTGATGGGGAGGAAAGGAAATATATGCTTGTTTTACCTCTGAGATATAGAGAATGGTGTGTGTGTGTGTGTGTGTGTGTGTGTGTGTGTATGTGTGTGTGTGTGTGTGTAGGTATGTATGTGTGTGTGTGTGTGTGTGTGTGTTTGTTGAGGGTTGGGGACTAGAGATGAATTACAAGCAGGTTCAGGATTCTAGAATGAAAATGAAAAATCTCATTGGAAAGTGATAGGATACTGGAAGGAATCTGGATGATGGGAGGAGTCCTTTTAGCTATGGACTTCTCTTGGGTTTTTGACTTCATCCTGTAGGTCATCCATGAAATGTATAAAGCAGGAGAATGTTTTGAAAGATATACGAGCAGCTATATAGAGAATGGGTTTGAGAACGACACACTTGGAGGGAAGGAAACCAGTTAAGAGGCTCTTGATGAGAAGCCTAAGTTTGAAGAGACAAATATAGATTAGAGAAATATTTTGCAGGTAAAATTTGTAGTGTTAGTGCCTGGTTGTGGGGGAAAAAGATAATAGAGTCTAAATTTTTTTGGCTTGTGTGACTAGTGAAGGTAGATGACCAACTAAAATGATGAGGTTTTTTTTGGGCATGGTAAATTTAAGGTACATGAGGGATGACTGGAAAGATAGACCCATCCATCAGGCAGTTGGGTATATAAATTTGTGGCTTGATAGAGAGGTCTGGGTTGGAGAGAGACATTTAGCTGTCATCAACATGTAGTTAAAATGATATTATCTAAGGAGAGAAGTGGGGTATAAAGAGTAGAGTATTTGGGAAGAACCCTGAGTACACCAATACTGAAGCATTGCGCTGGAGTAAAAAGAGCCCTGAAAGGAGGCCCTGAAAGAATCGTTAGAAAGATAGGAGAAGAACCAGGTGTGTGTGGTCTCCTAGAAATCAAGGAATAGAGCTTCATGATGGAGAGCGTAATAATCTGTACCACATGCAGTAGAGTATAGGGAAAAAAAGGTTATTCCAAACTACCTATGGTATTTGAGTCAGGAAGTCATCTAGTGATTATAGAGTTGGTTCAGTAGAGGAAGGATGGGAGTGGGAACCAGAGTGGAGTAAGTTGAAGGTGACAATAACTATGACCACTCTTTGAGAAGTTTACCTAAAAAGAGAGGGAAAAGATGGTATAGTAAATGGAAATGGACCCAGTATCAGGAAAGGTTTCCTCTTAAGGACTGGAGCAATATGAGCATATTTCCAGGATAACAGGAAAGAGAGAGATACCAGAAAGGGGGAAGTGGGACATATAAAATGAGAAGGTTTGGGGATATAGCAAGACTTTAGAGCCGGGAGTGGGTGTGGTCAAGGGCACCGTGGATAGTTTGGCCTTGGAAAGGAGGACATGTTATGATAATGGGAGGAAATTTTTTAGGATGGTTATGGGTTTTAATAATTGGATTGGGGAAATCTTTGGGAAGAATACACGTTACGGCTCAGTTTCATAGAAGTAGGAAATGGCGGGGGGAAGGTTGGAAAGTTGAGGACATAATACCAGATAACTCTTTTTCCTCATGTGGCCAGTTGTTTCTAGTTGGCCAGGAATAGACCATGACAAAAAAGATAAGTAGCTGAATGGCACATGGCCCAAAGGCCTTGTCTTTTTCTTTTCTTAAGATATAATTTACTTGCTATAAAATGTACCTTTTAAAAGTGGTTTTTAGTATCAGTACATTCACAGTTGTACACCTATCACCACTGTCTAATTCCAGAACACTTTAATGACCCCCAAAATAAACCCAGCTAGAAGTCACTACCTATTCCCCCCATCCCCCAGTCTCTGGGCAACTGTTAATGTATTCTCTGTTTCTATAGATTTGCCTGTTGTGGATATTTCATATAAATGGAATCATACAATATGTGGTCCTCTTTGTTACCGACTTCTTTCACTTAGCATAATGTATTCAAGTCTCATCCATGTTGTAGCATGCATCAGTACTTTATTCCTTTTTATTGCTGAATAATCATCCATTGACAGATACTCCACATTTTGTTTATCCATTCATCAGTGATGAATATCTGATTTGTTTCATTTTGGGGGTATTATGAATAATACTCTTAGGAATATTCCTATACAAGTTTTTGTGTGGACATGTATCTAGGAATGGAATTGCGTCGTCATCTGATGTTTATGTTTAACTTTTTGAGGAAATGTCAAACTGTTTTCCAAAGTAGCCGTACCATTTTATTTTCCTACCAGCAGTATAGAGTTCCAATTTTTCCATATCTTCACCAACACTTGCTATTATTACTTTTTCAAATAATTATCTTAGTGGATGTGAAGTGGTATCTCGTGGTTTTTATTTGAATTTCCCTGATGGCTAATGATGTTGAGCATCTTTTCATGTGCTTATTGGCATTTATATATCTTCTTTGTAGAAATATCTACGCAAATTCTTTTCACCTTTTAAAATTAGGTAATTTGTCTTTATACTGTTGAACTGTAAAAGTTCTTTATGTATTCTGAATACTAGATCTTTAGTAGATACGATTTGTAAATATTTTCTACAATTCTGTGGATTGTTGTCTTTTCACTTTATTGATAGTAGACTATCATTAGAAGCACAGATGTTTTAAACTTTGATGTAGTCCAATTTCTCTATTTTTTATTTGATTGCTTGTGCTTTTGGTGTCATATCTAAGAAACTACTGCCTAATCCAAGGTCATGAAGATTTACACATATGTTTTCTTCTAAGAGCTTTATAATTTTGACTATTACATTTAGATTTTTAATTCATCTTAAGTTAATTTTTGTATATGGTATGGGATAGAGGTGCAAATTCATTTGTTTGCATGTTGATATTTAATTGTCCCAGCACATCTGTTGAAAAAGACTATTCTTTCCCCCTTTTAAATTGTCTTGGCCCCCTTGTCAAAAATGAATTAACCATAAATGGTTTATTTCTGGATTCTCAAGTCTATTCCATTAATCTATATTATCTGTTTCTGTTCTTCTGACAGTGCTACAGTATCTTTTTTTTAAATTAATTTATTTATTTTTGGCTGCGTTGGGTCTTCGTTGCTGTGCATGGGCTTTCTCTAGTTGCGGCGAGTTGGGGCTATTCTTCGTGTGGTGCACGTGCTTCTCATTGCAGTGGCTTTCTCTTGTTGTGGAGCACAGGCTCTAGGCGTGCGGGCTTCAGTAGTTGTGGCATGCGGGCTCAGTAGTTGTGGCTCGCGGGCTATAGAGCGCAGGCTCAGTAGTTGTGGCGCATGGGCTTAGTTGCTCCGTGGCATGTGGGATCTTCCTGGACCAGGGATTGAACCTGTGTCCCACTGCATTGGTAGGTGGATTCTTAACCACTGCACCACCAAGGGAGTCCCCAGTACTACAATATCTTGATTGCTGTAGCTTTGTATTAAGTTTTGAAATTGAGAAGTGAGTCACTATTTTTATCAAGATTTTTTTGGGTTATTTTGGGTTCCCTACATATCTATATTAATTTTAGGATGAGATTTTCAGTTTCTGCAAAAAGGCCAGCTAGGATTTTGATAGGGATTGTGTTAAATTTGTAGATCAATTTGGGAAGTACTGCCATCTTAATAGTAGTCTTCCAATCCATGAACGCAGGTGGAAATTAGGTTACTGACTTGAGATTCCTTCTTTTTTAATAAAGATTTTAAAGCTATAAATTTTATATTTGAAGTTTTGGTCTAATAAGCACAATATCTGGGTTTTTCAAGAAACTGGGAAACTGAGCTTAGAAAGTCTTTATTTGCTCAAGGTCACATAGCTAATAAACAATATAGCAAGGTTGTAATTTGGAGACTGAATGACTCAAAGTTTGTTTTATTTGTTCTCTATTGCTTTTTTTTTTTTTTTTTTTTTTACGCTTAGTCTTCAAAGAGTGACTTTATGTCAGGTGCCAGGGATGTAAAGGATGCTAAGATAAATAAGCCCTGGACTTTGGTCTCAAGGAGCTAACACATTAGTTGAGGGAAAGAAATATGCAAATAAATGAGATAGAGTAGTACAGGTGCAGATCTAGATGCCTCTACTGGGATAGTTGTGGTGCAGAGGTGAGGGTGAGGAGTGCTGCCTATGAAACGGGAAAACTTACTCTATTTTAAGTGCTATCAATAGGATCTGAGTTTTACCAGGTAAATAGGATGCCAGAGGGGCCGAGTGACCATTGTGTCTGTGTGTTTTTGATGTAAATACTCCCTTCTCCTGTCTGTGAGGGTCATAGCTTCTTCCTTCATTTTGGTTTGGGAAGAGGGAAGAGCATCTTGGGCT